AGTGACTCGCTGAAAATTGGGATGCTCACGGATCATGAAGTGTCTTTTTAATGAAAATGTACAAATTTATGCGTGGCGTTTGGTCGTACGTTAATGGAGCAGGTTGATCTACGCTTCTTACCAACCCGCCTACTTATGGAACTTGACTGTCCATGTATCAACGCCTAACATGAGGACTTGTTACGAACAGAAAAATGAGGTTAGAGAAATATACTCTGGGATTACTAGAGTAGATCAACCAAATGTAAAGTGAACGAAAAACAGATTGAGTAGAATTGCAATGCAATGTGCAAGGGGAAAAGGAAACTTACTTCATTTGAATGGGAAAATTCATTGGAGGAAGAAACCTTCATAAGTACAGGAGAAATACGTCTGAAATCATCACAAGAAAAGACCACGAAAGTGAATCTTATGGAAGATGTACCAAGATGCAATTTGTGTAAAATTCTAAAGGTTGGGAACCGTCACGTGAACAAATACAATGTTCAGGTAGAAATTTCATGTTGACACATGGAGTCGATGTGGCATCAGAACCAGAAAGTCAAACACTCATGATTACGAAGCTATTCCAACTTAGCAACCACTATGATGTCAAGTAAGTGGTATAAGTTAGTGAATAAGCTCATTGCTCGGCGTTTTAACAATTCACTGTCGTAGCAAATTCTGCAGCGTGTCACATGGTGTTTTCATTCACGGACCATGCCTATCATTTAGAAGAATCTGCAGGTCCCTGGAAAAATTGCATTGTTGAAATTCGTAATAAAATCTCATATTTTATTTGCATTGTCGTGAAACACTATTCTCCTGAAGATAGCTGGAGTAAATGCAGTAAATGCTTAGCTTTTCACGACATATGAATTAATTACGAGGTGGCCTTGCTAATAAGCCAGATTGTGCCTCGAAAACAGCGCTGCTCCAAATCGTACTATCGCTTTTCCTCAGCCATCAGAACAACTGTCCCCCCCCCCCATGCGTACACCAATACTAAGCTAAAAGACACAGACAGATTTTCGTGAACTGTTTCTTCAGCCTATACATTGGGCGGGCTGTCGAATGCACAAACAAGCAATAATTCTTTCAATTCTGATTGAATGACGTAGCTGCTGGAGAGGATAAAGCTGAGATACTAAAATCTGAAAACTTCCTCTTCCTTTTCCCTTCCCTCTTCTACGTGCAGAAATCCACGTTGTACGAGATCTGTCTCACTCAATTTCCAATGTGCAGGCGTTAGGGGAGCCGTCTTTCGTACGTCTGTTGCATATTGTTGTTTCTATTATCGTCAGTTGGTGCATCAGGTAAAGAACCGACGATGCCCCGGCTTCTGAGCATGTCTTAGACGATGATGAGGAAACAGTGGCGTTGAACATTGAGGTTGCTAGAGGACAGGGACCACTACCCGTACAACTCACTAGGACAACATAATTTGCGTACCTCAGCTCAGCAAGATGTCTATCCGGAAATCTTAACTCGTTTTTGCTCTAGAATATGATCCTCGTCCTTTCCAAAATCAGCACTCTTCC